TCATCGAGTCAAAAAAACACCAACTCGACTTAATTTGAACTCGACTCAGCTTATCTGACTCGTGAGTTAACTCGACTTGTCCAGAACTCTAAGCATATATTCAAATTTATGTTCAAAATACTGATCATTAACTGGAGCAGTGATTACCAGTTCAGAAGATTTTTTGCTGAGCTATGCACAGTGTCTTTAATCAGATTGTGCAACAGAAAATATAGATCATCAATTAGGATTTTGTGTAATATATTAATTTTTATATATATTCAAAAAAAGAAAACATATTAACTTTTATTCATTATTTTTTCTCTAACATCAGATGATAATACTAATTACATTTTGTATCTCCTTAACTTTTTTCTTTTTAACAGCAAGATATAAAACATTTCAGATGAATAAAAAGAAACAGACTGCAGATTAAATATTTGGGAATAACTATTTGATTATATCTATGATATTATAATTATAAATATAAAGTGGTATTTTATAATATATACTCTGAATAGTATTTACCATACAAGTAGCAGTGAAATACTAGATTAATCTCACAAAGTCAGCTGTTAAAGAAAATTCTGAATTACTTCATAGTAACGTGAAAAAGGTGATTGGTATCATTGTGAAGTTATTAAAAGATAGGGTTAGTATAAATAGTTCTTCAACTAGTAAGAGGGCTAGGATCAAAAAATTTATCAAAAAATAATGTATCCTGGGCTATGTTCTGAATATTAAAATTTATTTTTTACATGTAATAATAAAAAATTTTCTTGGCAAATTTCAGCGAACTCAGTTTGCCCAAAATCACATGTTTTTTTTTATTTTAAATACTTATATATATTGTATTAGTTATATATAAATCATGTCATTCAAGCTTAAAGTATTGAAATAGCATATTACTAAACTTGAGGCTGAGAATACAGAGTTTAAGAAGAAGAATACTGAAATCTCCTATCTTAGAAATAAGTTCTCAGTGCCTGATGTTAAAATAGCTGAACTTAAGCACAGGAATATTGAGTTTCTAAGAGCAAATAAGGAATATAATAAGAAGCATGATGTTGAAAATGCCAAACTCAAGATCAGAATCAAAGAGTTGAAGAAAAATAAGGAAGATTCTTCAGCTGAGAATGTTAGGCATGATATTGAAATTGCAGATATTAAGGTTGAAGTAGTGAAACTAGCTGAAGACACTCAGATAAGAGACAATAATGAAGAAAGTAAACAGTTAACTTTCTGTTAATCAGAGATTATTTCTAAAGAAATGATTTCAAAATATAATCAGAATATTATAGATGAAATAGAGTCTCAAAGCTCTGTTTTCTCAAATATTATTAATTTGGTATTGAATGTAGTAATCATATTTTAGTACCTTTGGCTAAATCATCAGAAGAAAAGGAGACAGATCCTTTCTTAAATAAGGTGGATAAAAAATGATTAGTGATAGGATTAGGTAAAGAAACAGAGAAAAAAACTTTAGCAAAAAAATGAATAGGGTTTAATTCAAGAAATTAATTCATTTATGAAAGTAAAATACATCCTTTAGCTGTAACTAAAATTTCAGTGAATCAAGTTTGCCTAAATGTTTTTGCAAAAAGAAGTGAAAAGTGATTAGTCTACCCTGATATTATTAGTCTATATAAAACTGTGTGCAATGCAAAAAAAAAAACAATTAAAGCCAATAAAAAAGAAACTTTGTACTAGTATTTCTATATTAGAGAATTTAAAAAAATATATAAAGATTTTATAGTCAGCAATAAAGTTAAAGAAAAGAAAACTAAAGATTAAATATATGATTTTATTATCAAACAACTTTCTAATATTAAATGCAAAACTTTATGCATGCAAATACAAAAAGCTTTGAGAATTAATGATTTATTTGAAAAAATAGGAATAAACAAGCTTTAATATATAAAAATATATAATGTAGATACTATTTCAAAATTTACTGATCTCAGATTCAAACAATTATAGATTACTTTACTAAAAAATTCAATATAGAATTCATTGATGAAGCGGAGAATGAAGAACAAGATGACAATCAAAATAATGTATTGGAGGTCTTATCATTAATAAAGCTAATATCAACTGCATCTATCTCATTAGCCTATATCTCTGCAAAGTGTCTTAATGGGAATTCTTCAAATAATTCCTCTAGAATCAATCCAGTAGCTGTAAATACATCACCTGTGTCTCAGGTAATATCATCTAATAAATCCAGACTTTTGACTTCTATTTTACCTGATGATCCAGAAAATAAGCGAAAATATATTATTAAGCTAATGCTAGAGTGATTTCTGTCTCTATACTTAAGTGATAGTAGTAAACATTATGAGTGGTTCAATTTTAATAGTTCAACGCTCTGCCCTTTATGTAATGGAAACTATATAGAAGAAAACTTATAAAAGGATATAAAAGATGAATAGGGCAATAGTGACTATTACAGAGAATGAACTTATTGTATCAAATGCAAAGATCCTCTTAATCGTAAAACTCTAATAGTATTTGTAAAAACATAGACTTCATCACGTAGGTGACTTATCTAAACCTGATCATCTGAAATGCGTAGAAGATATCTGGTAAAATTCTTGCCAAAAATAGGGGCTGTGTAATATAAAATTAGTATATATATTCGTATTATTTTTTTAAATCACATGGATGGTTTAGATATTGTGCACAGTTTATTTTTCTCTGCAGTAATTATGTCACATGTTCTATAATATTGAATTTACTCTTCTAAAGTCAAGAGTATGGTTCGTAAAAAGAATAAAAAATATATTCAACCTACACTATCGGCCAATAAGACCCAGTTCAAGTGACAATTACAGAAAGAGTGGTAGATTTGTTTAATGATGCCGAAAATAAGATTTCTGAAATACATGAACAAATAATCATTTTCTAAAAGATGGGCTCTTTGCAATAGAAAGGGAGGAAACTACCGAAAATTTTTTTTTTGAATTAATATTAAATTTGAACTTATTTATTAAAAAAATAATATTTAGCTTATAAAGCAAAAAAAATTTTTTTAGTAGTTACCTCCCTTTCTATTGCAAAGAGCTCAGATGTTCTTCCAAAGTCACATAGGTGGTTTAAATAGCATGTAAACATCATCTATATTTTCTTTTAGTATCTCACAGTAATATATTACTACTTCACTGATTCATGTGAATTATATCCGCAGAATATACTATGCACAGTAATACGTCACCAGTATCTGTAATCATTATTTTAGAGGATCCAGTCTATTAATAAACTCGACCAAGAGAATTATTTTTGTGTTGCTATACTAATAAACTATTCTTAGAGTTCTGGTATATTTTATCTCATTCATTATGCAGTTCTGAATTACTAATAAAAAATATATTTCTGATTTACATTTTGCGGATCGTAAGAAATAGAACCGATTAGAATTTATTATTTATAGATCCTCAAATAAACGGTATATTTTTATTATCCTACTAACATTAGCGCATTCAAATTATGTGTATAGGCTAAGCATATATTAATTCATTTTTAGGATAAAGTTATAGGAATTAGCAGTACGTAACTCATCATAAATGATTTATCATCAACTAATTTTACAGATCTCAATCCATGATGAATAAATAGTAGATCTACATATAAACGGTAGATATGCCATTACTCCATTTATGAAAAATCATTTTAGTATATTCATTGGATTTCTTTTTAGTGTGATTATCATTTGATTTTTTGTTTTGCAAAGGATCTAAGACATAAATGGTATATTTTGAGATATGACATTTCTTCATTAGATTTTTCCTTTAGCTTGATCGAAATTAACAAAAATCAGATCACTGCCTTATCATCTATTAGGTGCAACTATTGGCAAATGCTTCAGCATATAACAGGTTTTAAGGTTAATTTAAAAATTGATTTATAAATACAGTAAATATCAAAATGGGCCTTCTTATATACGAAGAAAAAATAACCACTATTACTTTGACTGAATTTCAAGGTTATAATACAGAAAAACTTTTCGAATTCTTAAGAAGTGAAGAACAATTGCGTCTCATACAAGAAGGTTTTGACATATTAAAAAATGAAAGAATCTGCGGTGGTGATTTTCTCGAGCTTACAATGAAAGAATTTAGTAGCTCTGGAATGAAAATTGGCCCTGCAAAGAGAATTTCAAAATTTACAAATAAGTTAAAAAATGAGCTTGGTAAGTGATTAAGGCTCATGTAACTTTAATACTATAAAATTGTTATTTATAATGGTTCAATTTTATTTCTTATAGAACAATTTGAAGCGAAGTTAGAACAATCCAGAAATCAATTGGAATATGACTATACGGATTATGGCAACAGCGTTAAAAAGAGTTCTCCCCCATTGATTCCAACAGATTTTAAACGACTTAACGAAGGAACAGAGAATAGGAGTTGTAATGATGTGGATTGTAGTAATGGGGGATTTGATTCTAATTAGTATAGAAGTACCAGTACCATATATGTAGTCTGCAGTCATTAATCAGTAATAAAGTTTCGCATTTGCATCGAAAATTTGTTCTATGTGAATAAAAGTTCAGTCTCAAATTTCGAAAACATCCAAAGCTCTTTGCTCTTTTTGCCCTTCAAGAAGGAATGAGGGCAAATAAGAGGAGAGTAAGTAGGAGGAAGGTAATTTTCCCCGACAAAAATCCACCTTTAAGTATGGGATGCCTCCGTGCCTGCAATCTGCTCTTGTACCTGCATGTGTGCAACCTCGTGACTAGGTTATATAAATTGCGATCTACCGCGCTTCGTCGCGTTTTTGACAATCGCTATACTCACGATGAATACCTACTATGGTTACTTTACAGAAACGAAGCCTGAAGAATATCGCTTCTTGAATTTTTACCAATACCGTAGTAGACAAAAAGATTTTACTTTTTCCTTTCAAAAGGAGGCCGACATACTTCGGAAATGTCTGGACTTCCTGAAGAAAGTGAGTTCAGAAGACGTTAAGAAACGTATTAACATGTTATTGCAAGGATTTGATGTAAGTTATATTAAAATTTTTGGACGGATGACACGCAGTATGGGAGACTTCCAGCAGTCCCGAGAAGGGGTAAAGCTCACACAACTACGTTGGGCATCTACTTGTTGCTCATCTTATGGTCTACTTGTCCGTTGTGATCTGTCATAGACAGTATGGAAGACTTCCAGCAGTCCCGAGAAGGGGTAAAACTCACATAACTATGTTGGGCATCTACTTGTTGCTCGTCTTATGGTCTACTTGTCCGTTGTGGCCTGCTTGCATCAACTAAATCAACCAAGCATTCCACTTCGGTATCACATATGTATCACAAATTTTTTATACTAATGTATTTCACCCTTTTGCTAGAAGCATCGATTATATCAGGATTTGGAACAAAATCGAGCTGATGTGTTACGAAAATGAACAGAAACGTCTAGAATCAGAAAGGGCTACGCGGACAGTAAGTTTTCCTTGTACCTAATAATTTTTAAGCTTTTTATTAACTGGTATATGTACAGCTACGATGTCACGTTAATATAAGAGATAAGACACAAAATATGATGGAGAACATGGCCGAGGAAACAGTCGAAGAAGCCGAGGTTTGTGATCGATATAGATTGCACAATTGTATTTTTTTTTTTATTTACATATCTGTGTTTCTTCCCCTCAAGAATGCTCGCAAGAGATCACGGTCTGAGTTCACGGAATACGAACAAAATGATGAAGGGTTATCAGTATTATCGTCACCGCCGAGTAAGGTCAGGATATAACTCAATATTTAGTTCTTACAAAACATCTTAATGCTTTCGCTAACTTTTTTGAATACATAGATCCGAACTACCTGTGGAACGGAAGTGGAGCGAACTGATAACGATTCGACATTCAGTGACGAAGAATCCCTTTCTGCTCCCCTTACAAATGCTTTCACCGAGACTTCTTCGCAACAATCTGATACAAATATAGGAAACTCTGATTTAGCGTCAGCCCAAATAGCCAAAGTTCAAAAACCAAGAAAATACATTAATCGGGATATAGCAGACGATGTTTTAAAAAATTATAAGACGAGTATCCTGCCGGGTGAAAAACTTGTTTAATGGTGTAAATATATTGGATTCCGCGTTATCAGATATGAAGAAAATGAAGAAAACCGAAGTGGAAAAGAACCCACTTAACATTCGTGTCATTAATTTCCACAACCTCGATTGCACGAAATATTAACCCCATAATTATAGTAACTACATTGCAGACCAAATCCAGGACCAGAATAGTGAGGCTATTTTGCTGATGGGAAAAAAATTGATAAATTCATTGTGGATTGTGATGAACAAGTTCTGAATTATTTGGATAAATTTTACGAAGTGGATGATCTAGAGACTTTAGGAAGGTGTTTGACTGAAAATCATATAGATATTTCCATCGCGTCAAATGATCTTATATATGTACAGAACCTATTTTATCACTTTTTCTTTCTATTTAAGAATGACTTTTTAACTCAAAATATGTCAGAATATGAGTTTAACTCTTATATTTGGACGCCATTATTGAGGAATGCGTTTCTTGGGAAAAGTGATCTTAAGCTAAACTATGGGGAATTGGCACCTAGATCGTATGAAAAACTAAAAGGACTTTTGGACATTGGTGGCCATAGCGCTCCAAAACTGGACGGAAAAGGTTTTCTCAAGTCTTTGGGAACCGAAATCTTGGCTCAGGAGGGCGGCGTTCTAGATACAAGGGGCAAATGAAAAGGCGATCTACAAAAATTAGAATATTGTTCGAAGGTCATATTAACAGCTCTTTTTATCGCGTTACCTTCTTCTACTAAAGCCAGTATTACAAACATTGAAACATATAGCATTCAATCAAATGGGTTTCGTCTGACAATCTCGGTTTCAAAGTATCTGTTTGAAGATACTATTATAACAATGGACCTGCAAGATGTGGAGGTCCCAAGGACTATTGAAGGGTTTTCAAATCTGGTAATGGCCGTAAAAGTAATCTTATCTTGGAGGCACGCACTAAAAGGAATATGATGGCGTTTTACAAAGCATTAAAGATAGGTCGTAAGCGTATAACAAATGGTGTTAAGTTTTCACCAAAAAAAGTGTTAAGAAGACAGGATTAGGATTCTGCATCTAGTCAGTAATGCCATCATATTCTTCTATTTTTTTCTGTATTAGCTTAGGCGTGTAAGAAAAAAGGTTTAAAATTTCAGGCAAAGTGGTGTATGTGACCGTGACATTGATGGAAAAATAAAATCACATAATCGTTCTTTGTGTTTTTTATAAAGATGATGAAATTTTAAATAAAGTCCCGCGGAGCTAGTGTTTTATTTATCATCTGAAATTGGAAGGATCTAAGGATGATACCAATTATGTAATTGCCGAAACCTTGAGTTCGATAATATACTACACTACAGTACATGATTAATCCATTCTTCTGCGCAATTTTGATGAGCCCGGACACCGTGTCCAGACTCTACTAGAGTCTTCATGGTTAACATCATATGACCCCACATATGTGGTTTATTGTGCCACATTACTGCGAAATTATGTACACGCGTGTCCAGATTGCATAAATAAAAAGTATTAGTTTGCCTGCATCGGGTTTTGTTCTTTTTTAGATTACGTTTGTGAAATTGATATTTTTTTCCGAATCTGACGAATCTGATTAGCCGATCATCTCGTGATTTGAGTTGCGGAGGGAGCTTTGAAATACCGCAAAAGAGTGATACACTGGTGATACCTGCGATACCTGTGATACAAATTTTATAGTTTAGCCGTCCAGGGTGATCGGGTCTAATTTAACCGAATCATGAATACAGTAGCGGTCATAAGTATCCGACCCGGCTACAAGTAAGTAAATTCAAAATTTTTTTTTTTATTTAAAAAATACATAACCAACTAACTAAAATTAATACAT